TCTAGGTCTAGTTCGAGTAAATAGAGACCGACGGACAGGCAGAGACAAACTAAGCCAACTCAGCTCGTCACGCATGATCATTTATATTTACACTTTAAAGGGTCTCCGACATTTCCTTCAGATTTTACAAACTTCGTAGCAGGCTTAATATATCTGTTATTGGGTATAAATAACTGTTTATGAATAACTGTTTGTATTTAAGCCCAGTTGATAGTTCTTGCAGAGAAAATATAACTAAAATGTCATATTTTCGAGCATTATATTACAGGTACATATTTTTTCCGAAATTTAGTATAATTTTCAGAACACTGCAGAACTTTTGTTTTATATCTGCTTCATTTGTAATTGATTTTCATTATAAAGCAAAATTTTGAACCGACTACACCCACTTATGGGACCAAATTAACTTATCCTTAAGAGAACATGTATGGGACTTTAGTAAGATTAATAGTTTGTATTCTATGCTACAGATCATGTTAATTATCAAAATATTCTTAATACCTTTACTATTTGAAACATGTATCTTATTTTTGTTAAGGAATTAATCTGGTTCCGTTCAAAAATTATAGCCGGTCAAGTTGCTATGGATTTTACACTACGATGATTGATAATCATATACGAGACTATTTGAACAACAATAATCAAATTTATTTTCAAAACCACCGTATTTATTTCATGTTATTTCTAGCGAATATTTTCTCTTTAAAAACTTCAGTAGCCATTTTAGTAGCTGAGAAGGAATAAAGCAAAGTGGATACTAGAACCTAGTCTAAAATATGTTTCGAAATTCAATAAACACTTTCCTGTCGTGGCGTACTTGGAAGGTAGCAGAATTGATTTGGATCAATAAATTTGAAGTTCAATTTTATAAGTACATTTCAGAATGCTATTTGAAATATATCGAATACTTGTATATGACAACAAATTTATTTAATTTCACAAAGAATCATGCCACAGTACTACAAGTATAATTTTGTTGTGAGGTTCTCTGTTACAACCAAAGAAAACTCATCGAAAATAGATTTTTAATCGAATCGAACTAAAGTGCAATTAATATACAATAACTTATAATTATTACAATAATATATAGCTAGATACACAATATATTTAGTGTGTGGTCGGGATACATAATACGAAAACTCGGTAGAAAATCAAAATTTTCTACTACATAATATTTTGACTGATTTGCCTCAATTACAAAGGGTATGAACGCATTTAATGAAATATACCAAAATACATACACACAGAGCTTTATGTCATAATTTCACAACAACATCAAAACTGTGTTGCCAACTGCGAAGATATGAATAAATTTTACGCTCAGCTTAAATGCAGATGCTCGGAAGAATTAGCATATATATAACTATAAATATATGTGCACATTATTGTCATAAAATAAATGCCTAATTATGACGGTGGCAAAGAGATATTTGATTCGGCAATATTTGAGAGTTGCAAAACAAATTATTCGTAATGAAACTTAATCCGAATGTTTAACCGATGTGCAGCAGGCATATACGAAGCTGTGATAGCAAAATGATTAGATTATTATTTGATGTGTGCTCTATAAATGATGAAAGTCGCGGACAAGAAATCATCATAAAGAAATAATATTTCCAACAAGTAACAACGAAAATATAAAATGCGCGCCTTCATCGTAAGTGGTAGTACTGTGGATACGCAAGTGGTCAAAATAAGCTTTTTAATTTTCCTCAGGTCCTGTGTTTAGTGGCTGCAGCCTCTGCTGATAAATTAGGATACAACTATCGACCAGTGGGTCACTCCGACTCGGACTCTCGTTTGCACCAGGTGGTTCCTCAGGACTCGTGGTCTCGGCGGCAGTGGTGGATTAGGAGGTATTGGAGGTCTGGGTGGATTGAGTGGATTAGGTAGCGGTGGCAGCCTTGGCGGACTAGGAGGAAGTGCTAGCGGTCTGGGAGGTCTTGGCGGTTCAGGTGATATCGGTAACTCCGGCAGCGTAGGACCATCATACTCAGCTCCCTAATTCAATAAATTCTTCTCTACACCGCTCGAACGAAGAGTTCAATGATGCCGATGCCAGTCAGGATATTGCCAACTCACTGAAGAAGAATCTCCGTGTTATCTTCATCAAGGACCTGAAAACCGTGGACTCGAAAACGCTGCCCTCCAATTGGCTAAACATGCTGCTGAAGACCAAACCGCCATCTACGTTTTGCAGAAACAAAGCGATATCGGAGACTTGGCTAATAAGCTCAACTCTATCAACAGCCAGAGCGCCCACAAGCCCGAAGTACACTTCGTCAAGTACCGTACTCCAGAGGATGCTGCCAACGCTCAACGTGCTATCCAATCACAATACGACCAATTAGGCGGTAACTCCCAAGCTCATGATGGTGGTGTTGCCCCAGTGCACAACTTCGCATCTCAAGCTCCAGTTCAAGCACGCGAAGTGCATGCTCCCCGTAACTCCTACTTGCCCTCTTCCATCATCCGTGTTTAAGTAGAAACGGTATAACATACACTTGTTGTTATCTATTTTGTCTAATTAAAGGAACTGATTTGTTAAGTTTGTTATACGGAAGCTTTGAACCAAGTTACGAATATGGACGACGCTTATTATTGTTATTGTTGCTAAATATAAATATTATATAATATATAAAAAAATGCGATTTTTAATTCAATTTGATATGGTTTTAATAAATCGTTTAAGATTCTAAATTGATTGACCCAAATTTTAAAGGTTTACTTTAAAGTGAACTTTGCTTTGAAATGTGTTTAATACACAAATATTTAAGAAATTTATTGGGCATAAGAACAAAGCAATAAGTTAATACTTCCATCAGGCCTTTTCAAAAGAATGAGTAGAAAGAAAGATCAAAATAGGAATCAAATCGATGTATTGTTAAAGCAGTTCCGACTTCTTAATCAATATATTTGCCGAATAATTTTATTGAGAAAGCGAAAAAAAGCATTAAAATACTTTTGGTTAGCTTTCTCTTTCGTACAGGTGACCCTCAATAAAGATCCTCCTAGTCGGCCCAAAAGCTTTTGCAAATGTTAAATTCGCTGAAAAATGTGCAATCTTCTTCCTTTACATGAGAAAAATTCTCCGCGTTCTTGTTTTCGGAATTTTCTTTCTCAAAGTTCAAGGTAATACATGCAAAATTGTAGCTTCCTTGGTAAGCCCTATATCTAGGATAAAAGAACTTAATGAACTAAGTGGGGTGGAGGTTACGGATAAGCTCATTAATAAGAGGGTCAACATTAATGGACATTATGACAGAGATTGACAAAAACGCAAACAATGAGTTTGTTTGGCTGCATTCAACTTTTTTTGAGCAATAAGCAAATTTCGGACTTTGCTCAATATGGCTACTGTTATTATATTACTAGTGGGGCTTTTTCAAGGGGTTGGCCGTAAAATCAAAATGAAAAGTTACACATCCATCTTAATCACTACATGCTCGTCATTATTTTTGATCTAAGTGAAAAAATAGGCCGTTTTCTTCTTTTTAACTAGATCAGAAAAAACCAGTAAGGACGGGCTAAGTTCGGGTGTAACCGAAAATTTTATACTCTTGCAACTTGCAAGAATCAAAGCATGGGAAATTCCTTCAGATGCTGGCCAATCTTTTTTAAAACACCTTCAAATGAGATAGTATAGGTATATGATGTAACCTCGACCTAAAAGGCTAAATTAAATATTATATATTGAGATGATGTGGAAAACGTCCATCAGAAGTTGGGAATATTATATTAGGGATATGAGATTTGTCCTTCCATTTCTCTGCCTGCAATATAAACTATACAATAATTTCCGACTTCCCAACTTACTTTAAAACGTTTAGGTTGGCCAAATTGTATAATATTTTAATGAAATTAAGTGAACACGTTCTCTTAAAAGTTATAAAACTATATTAATTGCTTGACATCTAATATAAATGAAATTGGTCTTGGTCTAAACCTCATATGCCTAATATAATATAATGAATTCCGATCATTTGGTTGACATTTTTCATATCAACTCAATATATAAGGTTGGAAGGTATCTCCCTTCCGCTTTTTTGTCTTTTGAATTTCGTGGCTATGTACAAAGCGCTACAGAGCTCGTATCTGGCAACACTATACATAATTTGAAAGGTCTTGACATAACCTACAAAACAACGCTATGCATGATTAGTTTGGATATTGCGTTCAACAGTTATAGACGTGTAAACATGGAGTTCACTAACGTCGAAATTCGCGCTATTTTAAAGTTTTCCTTCGTTAAAGGCAAATCCGCTAGAGAAACGTTCCGTGAGATTAATGGTGTTTTGGGAATGGTTTCGACGATTCAGAGCTAAATTTAGCCTCTTCGGTTGAGTTTATATAACAGCCAATGCTAAACGTAACGGATTATTGTATGAGAGTAAATGAACATTGGTGCTACCGAATCATATTTCGGAACAGAGGCCTGTTGCAATAAGTCCGAGTTTGATTTGTTGATTTCGCAGCAATATTAAGCAAGTTTAAGGTAGACGCGTGCAATAAAAGTACTATAAATCTTTATTGTTGATTTAGTGTTTATTTTGAGGAAAATCGGACTGTCGAAGTTAAAAAGTCGATGTGACGTCCCACGTCAAATTTTATTAATTAATTCTTTTCATGAATGCTGCTGATGACATTTAATGGTAATGACATTTGAAGACTAAAAATATGCAGAGGCTTGGCCAAAGCGACCAACGTAGATTAAAGTAGAAGTAAAGTTTCTGCTCATTTATAGTCAAAGCCAAATTTATGACCTGCGCTTTGACAAGTGGAGCAAAGAAGAGCGTGAAGCTTTAGCTTGCGGAACACCAAATAAAATTCAACATCGATATTCGCATTGAAGTCAGTTCCAAAGATTTTTGGTCAACCAAAGTAGAGGAAACTAAATAAAATTTAATTCGATACAGATACAAATATTTTATCCATAAATAACAGAAACCTATGCATTTTGGGTTTTTAATGAAGATTTGGAATCAGATTGATATAAAAGAGGGTGCATCGATGATAGCAAATCATTCCGAACGCGACCATTTCAGAGTCTTAATCGTGAAAGAAGCGATATAGTGAAAGAATTATACAAGTGCCAAAAACATAAATTAAAAAAATGCGTGCTTTTATAGTCCTGTGTATATTAGCCTCTGCCTACGCCGATAAATTAGGCTACAACTATCGTCCTGTTGGTCACTCTGATAGCGGCCTCTCATTTGCGCCCGGTGGTGGCGCAGGTGGCCTAAGCGGCAGCGGTGGTGTTGGTCCTGCTGTATCTGCACCTGTATATCAGACACCAGTTGCTGAATACGAAAAGGAATTTTACACATATACTGCCGATGAGAACGAGTTCAGCGAACCAGCTGACAATGGTCGAGTAGTTGAATCATTGAAGAAAAATTTGCGTGTCATCTTCATCAAGGGACCTGAAGGCAATGGCTTGGAAAAAGCTGCCACCAATCTCGCAAGACACGCTGGAGAAGAGAAGACCGCTATTTATGTGCTGCAGAAACAAGCTGACTTGGGCGATTTGGCTAACCAATTGCAGGCTCAAAACGATGTGCAACGCAGTAAACCCGAAGTACACTTCGTCAAATACCGCACACCCGAGGATGCGGCTAACGCTCAACGTGCCATTCAATCGCAATACGATCAATTTGGCGGCAATTCTCAAAGCTATAATGGCGGTGATGCTCCAGTACACAACTTTGCTTCTCCAGCTGCTCGACCAGCTCCACGTACAGTTAGCACACCCGGTGCTGCTTATCTGCCTTCATCGATTTTTCGCGTCTAAAGATTATAGGCAAGCCCGGTAGGGAAACTGAGATCGACTCTGAAATATTGTTATACATAGACTGATGATCCTTGTTAATTGTTGTTATCTACTGTTAATAAACTTTTTACTTAGTATTGCATACATGATAATTTCTGATCTTTTGAGAGGTGGTACTCACACAGTTGAAATACCCGGTTATTGGAGATTCCAAAAACTGCTAGGTGCCAATTACAACACCCTCATTCATAAGTTAAGCGCTTTGAGTCTATCACAAATCGTTCGAATGGGCGCAGAGCTTTTAATGTGGTACCAGCTGTAAATACAAGGGGAACAGACTATGCCTGGTTTTTGTTAGAACGACTCTGGTCGCTGTCAAAAATTGCTTAGGAAGTTACGGCGCTAAAGTTGGTGGTGAAAAACTAGTTGATTTCATTAACATAACTTTTTCTGAAGATATGTACGAGTATGTTCGCAATGCACGTTTGTATGTATGTATTAGAAGCAAAGAAATACCGGAATAATAATTCTAAAATTTATTGATTATATGGGTTTCATAACCATAACAAACCTGTTGTTTTATGCTACATTAATTATGAAATGTAGGCATGTTGTTCCGAAATTTTGTGTTAACCGATTGTGCGCCAAAAGACAAAGTATACTTTTCTAAATTAGTTTCTTAAAAATAAATTTGGAAGAATAAGTTCATATTTTCAGATCTTCAAATTTCTACGTTTGAATGATTTTCGTAGTTAAAAGAAGGCTCTTTTTTCTTGTGTAAAAGAGATTCCGGGTACATGGCTATTGCTTCTATATTTTGAATAGGTCCGATGCTCGGAGGAGACAGGAATATGAACAGGCAGATTGAATGAAATTACAGGCATAGTGAATATAATATAAAAAAGCTATAAGTGGCACAGCTGACGGATACTAAAAATCTACAAGCCAATGTTTAGATCCAGCAGTAAGGGCAGATTCACAATGACTGGGATAGGCACAGTCTTTTCAAGAAAATTAGAGTGAGTTATCAAATTGACTCGGGTAATATGAATGACTCTAAGTGTCCTAGTCAGATGATGTGATTGAAATTTTTACAACCAGGGATAGATGAAACTAGATCCCGTCTCTCAATTTGTGATGAACCATTTTTTAACGACTTGACATTAAATTCGTATAGTCTATCAAAATAATTCACTGGATCGGTTTTTTTTTTTTTGTTTAGGAAATAACATACACATACTGTTGTCTCCGACTCTTATGGAATGCTCGATTATTTAGTAATTTTCGATTTTCAAGTAGAGTAAACACTTTCATTATAAATTCACATAAAATAAGTAGTTTTTAAGAATGCCAAATTAAATATCGTTGATATTCGTTTACTAACACATACTTATATGAATTTACCCACAACATTATATTGAAACTATTTTGGGATGTGGTATTCTGCATTTTAATGGACTCATTTCGCTAGTTTCTGGTATGCGCCTCCATCTTTACGGTCTTTTGCATATTTATCGGCTTCATAAAACCACAAATAGACCGCTTTGCCGATGCGGCTTTTGTGACCTCTTGCCTAATCGTATTCGTATTAGCACGGCGCTCACCTGTACAATATCGCTTGAGAATCAACTTTGAGTGGAACTAATTCCGCATCGCTATGAATATTAATTTTAATTTTCTCACTCAATTCATTTGTACTTTTGTTTTTGTTAGAGATTAAAAAAAATAAACTACTAAAAGCGCCACAGTGCAACGCTCATTTCAGGAGTTTTACTGCTATTGTGGTCGCTAATTAAAGACTTTGTCTCCGCAAAAACAATGCCGACGTTCATAAATTTATTAATAACTACAACTATGCGCCGCTACCGAACTGTGGTCTGGACAAAGGCAATTTTCTTCACACTTTTGTGTATGTGTGAGTGAGTGTGCGTTATACGAGTACGGGTTAGATCATTTGCATTAAAAAAGGTTTTATGACCACTAATATTTGTGGTTAGTGGTTATAGGTACATATATGTGATTTTTGCAAACTGGGCCCGGATGCTGCGTATTTGTGGAAAGTCGATGGATCACTTGTACGTCGAAAGCATGTTGAAACCCGTTGGACATCAGCAAGAAGCGTTGTTGCTATCTTTCTGCTGAATTGGGTAAAACATCACTATTCAGACATTGTATATAAAGAGGCTGCTGTTCCAGCAAGAATTATTCTCAGTTCGCAACTTAAGAGTAAATTACCAAATTTAACGGATATCATGCGTGGCTTCATTATTTTGTGCTTTGTGGCGGCTATATCCGCAGACAAATTGGGCTACAATTACAGACCTGTGCCTCACTCTTCATCCGGACTCTCCTTCACACCCGGCAGTGGTGGTGTTGGCGGAGGTAGTGATGGTTTCGGCTCTGGTGGCGTCAGCGGACTAGTCTCTGGTGGCGATGATGGTAGCTACGGCAGCTCTGGAAGTCTTGGTGGACTGACTGGCGTCGGCAGTGGATTCGATTCTGGCGCTCAGAGTATTGTGTCACCAGTCAGACAGGAAGCCAACAAAGAATTCTACTCCTTCTCTGCTCCTGAGGAGGAATTCGAAGATGCCGAAGGGGCTCAACAATTGGCTAATTCTCTGAAAAAGAATGTTCGTGTCATCTTCATTAAGGGACCCGAAAACAATGGCTTGGAGAAGGCTGCCCTGGCTTTGGCTAGAAACGCTGCCGAACAGAAGACAGCCATCTATGTGCTGCAGAAACAACATGATATCGCCGATTTGGCTAACAAATTGCAGTCTGTCAATGATAACCGCAACCATCATCCAGAGGTGCACTTTGTCAAATACCGCAACCAAGACGATATTGTCAACGCCAAGCGCACCATCCAATCGCAATACGACCAAGAGCCCGGTGCATCGCAAAACTACAATCACGCTGTTGCTCCAGTGATCAACTTTGCTTCACCATCCAGCCCAATTCAGTCGTACGGCCAACAGCAACAATACTACAACCCAGCTGCGTCCAACACGAACACAAACTACTTGCCCCCCTCGCTATTGAGACGTCTTCGTTTCTAAATGCTAACTTGTACCTAAATATTTTCTTAAACAATTACTTCGAAAACGATACAAATAAATTTTAAAAAACAAAAAAAATTTACTGAATTTTATTTAATAACATTCGAAGTACTCCACTAAAAATTTATTCGCAATTCATTAGCAAAATATTATAAGGCGACTGTATGCTCGGTAACGATCCATTTTTTGTAAAGAAAAAAGAGAACAAATATCTAACGCTTCCCAATAGATTACTTATCACTCTAAAGCAGATACCGCTTTGGAATAACAATATGAGTTTTTCTTATTCATTTACCATCCCATGTAATCTCTTTTAGTCTATATATTGTATATATTGCGAAGAATAACGAAAACTATGGAATTCAAATTATAGTATTTGCTTTTGCGCTAGATATTCCGCCGCGTTTCTCCACCATTGGTTACTAGTCGTATCATAAAAAGTCACATGGAAACTTTGTATGTTTCCTTCAGTTAAAAAAACTATGAATATTTATACCGCGTTTACATACTTAAACTTTTGTTGCTCAATATCGAGAAACTCCTTTTTGCAGTTGCCCATTGCATTCCCACGAGCAACACGACATTCCCTTTAATTCATCTAAATATTTTAAAAACAGTTGACAGTTTCAAACATATTGTGAATATTAATGAGGAAGCAAGCGTGATTGCAACAATAAAATAATTTAAAAATTAAAAGATATGTCGAACTGTGTAGCCGCGAGCTGTTACGACCAAAACACAAGGCGTGTTGCCGAATTACAAGCGCATCTGTTCCTTGGTCTTTCCTCCTCACTCCCTTTCCTATAAACTACTAGTTCGTGTGTGAACGTAGTCTTACTTATTTAACCTACATACACATATGCAAGCATAGTAATTTTGCCTTCATAAATTTTTCAAAATTACTTTCCGAAAGTACTTTCTTTTCGACGTCACATTCTGTATTAGCTGCAAACAGGTATTTATTTAAATCACTTCTCAAGCTTGATACTCATATATTTCCGTTCAAAGAGACATACCAGTTTTATAAGCTATAAAGCTTTAATTACGTCGTTTAACATAGCTGCATTTGAATAAAATGTCAATATAATTTTGTATAGGTATATATAAAGTAGAGGCGATTAAAATCAATATAACTCTAGTGATGAATACTTTGGTAATCTTTTCCGATCATGCATATAAATATTATAGTAAATTATCGAGTTGTAAGACGTTTGTTTGAAATAAAAAATAGTAGAGGAAGAACAAGAATGAATTGGAAAACACTTGGTTCCACCTCAAAAGTTTTTGTCATTAATTACAAAAATGGAAGTAATTTGATATTAAATAAAATTTTTGTTTAAATTTTTAATGTTTAGTTTGTTTTAATGTATGTAGTGTATGTTCAACATTTTAACTACAGACATATACAACATATATATGTATGTATGTATGTATAATAAATATTATTGCACATTAATATCTTAAGGAAAATTATACACTTACCAGTATGTGTTTTTTTGGTTAGTAATAAATAAATATGAGACGTGCGTTGTATACTATTGAATGCAACGACGAAACGGAAAAGTTTTACATAACTAAAATTAAAGCAAATCATTAATTATACATTTTTTCTAAACTCACATCGCATTGATAACTAACATGCATCAGCACATTTTCACATCAACATGTTAAAACACGTTTGGTAAACCGGCACTTTTTTCCCACATCACTATAATTGCATTTATACACTTTTGCTTGGATTAATTGTAGCATAACTTATTATAAATTTGGAACGGCACTTTATGGCGAGCACGGTTTATATTTTTATTATTATAACAATTAACTTCAGCAATATTAATATTATATTTTATAAACTAAAAAATTTGATCACGACCACGAACCGAAGCAGCACTTAAGCAGAGAAGGCGAACGCAAATGCTTTAACATTCGCCGATTCGGATGTATTTGTTGCACTGCTCCACACTGCGACAATTTGTGAAAAAACTATCATGCGACATTTTCGTGAAATATTCCATTGCACAATATCATGATCAAAATATGTTAAAGTGTTGTGATTTTGTGTTGTAACACAAACAGGCGATGCTAGAATAACAAATGCTGCTAAAAAGCAAGGAGGTGGGTTGTTTTAATAAATAAATGCGAGGAAAAGAAAAAAATGGCAGAAATTTAAAATGTTTATAAATGTTCAAAAACATTAATATTTGGTCATCAAACTGACTTAATGCAACTTAATATAATATTATAAGCGATGGCATAAAATTTATTATTGAAAGACGTAGAACAACACTAAAGTCTGTATAGCTATTATCCATAAAACGGTGTTTAACTAAAAGAACCCCATCTTAGTTTATAATTAGAAAAAAAAATACAAGGTTGAGCTATGGTATACTTATATTGGGCAATTATTCGCTTCAAGTCTGTGAAAATTCTATGAAAAATATTACGGCTTATGCCTTTTCTGCATATTTATATACGTACATTAAGCCCAGAAAGTTTCCGAAAATTTTTGGCCCACAATTTCGGCCGTTTACGACGGATGTTTTCGCGCAAACGCCTCAAAACGCTCAAAACGCTCAAATAATACTCTTTATTGATTCATGATGAACCAAACCGCGAATATCTAAATAAACAACAATTTCAAGATTTTAAGACCAAAAACGCGTTCAATACCATTGATCAATCACCGTATTCATCGGTTTAGGTCCCATGCGAATTTTTTTGTTTCCAAAACTCAAGTTACCAATCCATGGAGCCCGTTTCGACTCGATGGAGGCCGTAAAAGAAAATTCGCAGTGGGAACTGAAGGCGATCCTGGACCGGAACCTACAAGGCATGTTTCGGTAATTGCAAAAAAAGGTGGCTTATATGTATCGCTTCAGAAGGAGCATATAATAAAGGCAACAAAATAAATGGTTTTGGTGGCTTGAGTGGTGATTCATCTGGCAATATCGGTGGTCTGGGTGGTAGCTCTTCTGGTAGTCTTGACAATCTTGGTACCCCAGGCGGTAACAATGATTATAGTGGCAGCAGTGGGCCTAGTAGCAGCTCAGCTGGTGCTCCAAGTGCAGTGGAATACGAAAAGGAGTTCTTCACATATTCTGCTGATGACAATGATTTTGATGAACCAGAAGCCAATAATCAAGTAAGCCACGGAGCAAAGAAGAACCTTCGCGTTATTTTCATTAAGGGACCCGAAAACAATGCTTTAGAGAAAGCTGCCATCAATTTGGCCAGACAAGCGTTGGAACAGAGAACCGCCATTTATGTGCTGCATAAACAAGCTTCTCTCGGTGATTTAGCCAATAAGCTGCAGGCTTCACATGACGTCCAGAGTCATCAGCCCGAGGTGCACTTTGTCAAGTACCGTACACCAGAAGATGCGGCCAATGCACAAAAGGCTATTCAAGCTCAATACGATCAACTGGATGGGCCATCGCAAGCGCATGACTGTGGTGTGGTTCCAGTGCATAACTTTGCATCGCCTGCTACGCATAGTGGTCCATCTGGTGTAGATGGCGGCATATCTGGCCCTGCTAGTGGTGTATCAGGTGGAAACGGTCACATTTCGGGCGTCCCTGGAAGAGGGGCACCAAGCGCAACATATTTGCCTGCTGCAATCTTGCGCACACTTCGTGTTTAGGTTACTATCTTGCTCTTTGTTATTGTATTTTCTGTTATGAGTTTAGTTCGAATAAAACTTTTATATATATTATATATTTACTTTAATCAACATTTTTTCTTTTTTTTCGTCGGAATATTGAGATATCATATATAAAACTTACTAAGCAGGTGGCAGAGTCTGCAATTAGAGGAAATCCCTGGAACCAAAAAACAATAATGTTATAAAGTGAAAATGTGAAAATTCTCATTGAAACTGTCTCTTATAAATTAAAAACTTTTGGTGTTGTTGCGTTGTGTCTTCGTGGTGTTTGCTGAGTTAAGAAAAGAAAAAACGTTAACTTCGGCTTCACCAAAGCTAAAATACTCTTCACAAATACAAAATAGTCCTTACAAAAGCTTGGTATGGTAGCTATATGCTATATTGATTCGATCTGAACAATTTCTCCGGAGATTGCATGGCTATATCTTGTCAAATGAGTACGTTTTTCATGCAAACACTTGATTCCGATCGTTCAGTTGGTACGACAGCTATATGCTATAATGGTATGATATCGGCGGTTGTGACAATTGAACAGCTTCTTTAGTATGTGTGAAAAATTTCAAATCGATATCTCAAAACTGAGGGACTAGTTTGCGTATATACAGACAGACAGACGGACATAGCTAAATCGACTTAGCTTATCATGCTGATATTTTATATACATATATGGTAAACTTAATATACCCTGTTCAGGGTATAAAAAGCTTTCAAAAAAATTTTATAGTAAAAAGTCTTCAATAAACAAGTTTTCAAATGATGGAATGGATGCGATTGACCCGATTATCAGATGAAAAGAAAAAATATATTTAGAAATTTTTATTCCTCTCATCTTTTTAAAGCGTCTAATCACGTACCCCATTTTAAATTTTATCATTTTACTTTTGTTTTTTTTATTTATTTATTTTTATTTTCACTATCGTTTCTCCTGGAAGTATCTCCATCAAATAGTAGAACTTTCGAAAGTACATCGCTCTCATCTGCTTTATTATCGACTCCAATTATCGTAGTGTTGTGAGGTGCCTCAATTAACAATATCCGTCTTTGATTTAATAACGCAAGCAAGTTTTCAATTTTCTCTTCGTCCTCGCTTTCATCTTCCTCGGGCGCACTGAATGTCAAGAATTCGGCTTTAATTTGCTCATTAGATTTCAACGGGGCTTCATCACTGCCATTATTCTCTGCTATTTCAACATCATCTTTCTCCACACTGGAAGAGGTATTCTCCATTTCTTTCGACGTATCTAACTTTTCTACAGATACGCTATACGCTGGCAAAATAACGCAGCTAATTAACTGAAATACTTATACTTTAGACAAATCTTGAAGAATTCTTTGGCACATATAGTACTTACAAAAAGGAAGATGCCGGTAACGCGGTAATTCATGACAGTTATTTGCGCCCGCATTATACGAAAACTGATCAATAAATGAGGCGTCTGGTGCAAGATTCGTGCTTTTATAGTCGCGTGAAATTCATTCGCGATTTAAGACGAGACGATGTTTAACCTAATATGGCTTACATCTGTTTGCACTCACTCTCAAACGTTAAGCGGTTTAACATTCAATTTTCTTGTAAGGTCTTTTCGAATTAGGTTAGTATTCTTCCGCAAGTCATCGAAAAGAACTTTGCCGTACACTATTCGTGTGGGTGTTAATAATTAACTCACTAAGCTACTTGAAATCTTTAGTTGCATTTCCATTTTTGTTCTAATATGAAAACCATATGTATAACCGACACACTTCGTAAAAAGGTAGTTATTGGATTTATTAGAGCCGTGTTCAATGACAAAACTTAAACCTTTAAGGTACTTCTGATAAAAACTCGATAGAAATCTTACTCGTTAATGTCTAAAACCAGCGGTGCTTTAGTTCTAAGTGCAACTTAAAATATGTAAGGGGAAGTTAAGTACGTATGGTGGAACATAAATAACTTTTCCCAAAGGTATCAAATATTGCATTTTCATTTCATCTTATTCATTATTTTCACAGAAATCTCTATTGTCGCTTTCCTAATAGACTCATGATGCAATACAAGCAATCCAATTTTCCATACATTCCTTATAAACATCGGCTGGCTGGCTTTCAATACTTTCAGCGAATTTGAGTTTCGGCTAATGTTTGGAGCGCCATTCTGTAGATTGTTGGAGAGTTTCGACGGCAAAAACCCGGCATAAACCCAGGTTTCGTCACCAGTAGAGATGCTTTTGAAGATTGTAGGGTTCTCAGCTACGTTATCAAGTATATCTTTTGCGACCTCTACTACCCCAGATATCCTTCTGAGCATTGTTTCTATAAGTTGTTCGATGTGATCGTCATTAAGAGATATTGACGGACGACTCGCATGATCCTAGTTTTCAATGACTTCGTGACCTTTGCTGAATGCTTGTAGCGCTCAAATACTTGAAAACAGAGAATGTTAAGCTAACTCGTTTTTAATTTTTTTTTTCCTTGCAAAAACTGCTATACTAGCCTTTCGTGTAGTAAACAAAGAGTCGCCAAACATACACTTTGACATAAGGAGATCAAACTTCACACGAACATAAAAGAGGTTGCACCAATGTAGGGAACCCATTTTTGGTCGATTCGGTTTGCGGGCGCAATTTATATGGTCCGTATTCAGTCCTGAGTTCAGTATTCTTCATAGATCTTTTGACGTTCAAATGTTATGTACGTCTACTGAAAGCATTGGAAGTTTTGCGTTAGACTTTTTTCAATAATATTCTTAGATATTCTCCTAGCCTAAATAATCTTGAAATGTTGGTTCAGCATTAAATACATTGATTTATAATAACTACTTCTTAATTTATCTGAACAAAGCAAAGCGGAGGCTACAAAAGGCCGAATCTTATACAAAATGATAAGGAAAATATTCAGTTGGAACATAAACGGAATTGAGATTTGTTATTTATCGAAACAACCAAAAAATTTATTTACAAACCTTCTATACTCATTTCTATTATCGCACAAGTAATTATACCCAGAACAGGGTACATTAAGTTTGACACGAAATTTGTAACACCCAGTAGGAAACGTCGGAGACCCTATAAAATATATACATAAATGATCAGCGTGACGTGCTAAATCGATTTGGCCATGTCCATTTGCCTGTTTGTCCGTCTGTCTGTATATATACAAACTAGTCCCTCAGTTTTTATGCTATCGATCTGAAATTTCGCACCCGTCCTTTCCTCACTAAGCTGCTTATCGTTTGTCGGAACGGCCGATATCGAACCACTATAGCATATAGCTGCCATACAAACTGAACAATCGGAATGAAGTGCTTGTATGGAAAACTCTTTCATTTGACGAGGTATCTTCACGAAATTAGGCACAATTTATTGCTTAAGGCAACAAATTATTCTCCACAGAAATTTGTCAGATCAGATCACTATATCATATAGCTGCCATACAAATTGAATGTTCGGAATCAAGTTCTTGTAAGGGGCCTTTGTATTTGTGAAGGGTATTATAGCTTCGGCGCAACCCAAGTAAACGTTTTTTCTTGTTTCATGTTTTTTTTTTTATCGAACTAGCTATACTATGTATCAACAACATTAACGTATGCATAGCTCACATGAATATTCACTCGAAATTTATAAATATGTTCCTATGTAAATATTCACATGCGCCAACTGTGTAGTTTCTACTTAAAAAAAAAAAACAATATGTTAATAATAATTACATAAATTTAAATTCATGGAACTTTGGTTCTCTCGCAGGATATTAACACATGCAAACCGCTTTGGTCGCCGCGCAGCTTGTGTCTTTGGAGCGCAAGCTGCTTTTTCCCAGCTTGCGTGCCTGCACGTATAATTAATTATTTGTTAAGCTAAAAAATATGCAAAAGAATTTCCGTCCGCCGCGCACTATAACACCGGAAGCCAAGGCAGCCACACTCCCTCGAAGGCATCCGACAATATAATGGCTCATAACAACATGCAACACATACTATACAAGTACATACACAGTCACGTACAAAGGTGCTGTTGATATATGTTTAAAATGTATATAAATAAAGGAACGCTTTCTAGTGAAGAGTAATGGTGGCTGAGAAAGTTACTTCACACAAAGTATGAGTTAGCATACCTATCTTTAAGGCAAGTTGCTCTTCTTGCGTTAACCACAGTAAATTCCATAAAGCCCGCTGTTAACTCGAGAGGGAAATAGTGATTATGAAATTCAAAAAAAAAAAAACTATATATACAAAAAAATGTATCCCTTGGCATAATGTGTTTCGATACTAAGGTTGTATGGTATCGATCTATAGTTTCAGATAAGCCCTATAGTGTGATGAATATGCGGTCTCCCGATGTCGTTATTGCTGTAGCGGTAAAAAACATAATCTAACATAATACTAAAAGATGCTGCCGAGTTGACAATCCATCGACGGTTACAAATCAGTTCCAGTTATGTAGACTCCACTGTCGTGGAAACATCAGGTAGTTCGAATGACTTCAAATTGTTTTTTTGTCTGGATATAAAAGTGGATAAAGTGAGTTAGAAGCTTTTAGCTTTATTCGCTTCATCCCTAGCCTAACCTCGCTTGACCCGTAAAATGTTCACTTGTATACCCCATGTTTAAGCGCGCCTGACCATTGTCCTTATCTGCGCTTGACTTCTTATTTGTCCTACCATGACCACTAGCTTGTTCTCAATAGAACAGGCGCTAGACTTGGCATGACCGTTAATTGAACCCCTTTATCCCTAGCTTGCGCTCTCTTGATCTCTTGCTAAAGATCGCTAGACCCTTCGCATTATCCATGCAAATATTTAAAACAGATAACTGTAATATATTTGCGGCACGTTGGAGTATCCTCAAGACCTTTTTAATAGGCTTTTAGCGGTCAATGAAAATTGGAGCACTGATTTACAACCTTGTTCTACAAACATTACAGAATTACAGCGAACAACTAAATACTGACACACACACACAAACACACATGTGTACTCGTATAAATACAGTTACATTATTTGCAAAAGAGGCCCGATTTTAAATTCATGAGCTGTTAGAGTGAACGCTAAGTAGATAATTTTAATACTGCGAATTAATTGAAGCAAGGATAAAAGTGTAAAATTGTAAAGTTCTTATTTATCCGCTACCTCTTAACTACTTAGGTATGACCTTTCACGTGTAAACAGTTAAGTGCGGCGAATATTGTAAAAGTTCTATAAAATGTCGCTTCCCTTTGCACTGCCAATGTTGTTGCTACTCTTGTTGTTGCAAATCGCTTGGCAAAAAGTGTACAGGTATGTTTTTGTAAAAACAACAACAATATGGCGGGGAGCTGAACACACCGTCTGTCGGTGTTAAGATAAATGCTGCAGATATTGTAATTTATTGTACACCCGTCCGACGCGGCGAAAGGACGATGCTGGCTGGGCTGAGCAGGGCAGCGACTCTGGCACTTAGTCAGGTACCGTGAGTAGCTCAAAAGCGAGGTAAATAAATGCCAAGAGTGTATATACTTAACAGATGCAAGTATGTATGTATATATGTAAATAAAAATGTAAATGAAAGCATACAGATGTTGGTGCTTTCTCCATGCATATGTATGCACCGATATTCGTCCTGTATACAGATTATACGAAGTATCTATGTATATATGTGTTAGGGCGTGCACTATTTTATGTACTCTTGTGCAGTTATCTATTTGTATTTATAGTTGAAATTGCTTTAAATTTTCTTTTAGAAAAGTTTCTTTTCAAGCCATTCAAAAGTGGTGGCGTCAAGATATACTGACGTTATAATGTCTCAGTTTGATGCATTAGAGTGATTGAAATAAAATTAAATTTGCTATCATCTTTGACTGCATATTTCAGATAGGGTTGCTACAATGCTCTTAAACTTCAAGACGCCTAGAATTCAAATGCAAATTTTTATGCAACACCAGCACCATAATGAAAATGTACAAAAGTTTAAGCTCATTTACGTATGTGAGTAATTTGTTAGAGCATCACAAATCCTGTCCACAACTCAATTAAATAAAATTATGTACGCTCTTCAACCGTTATCTCTTTGCGCTTTTTTCATTTCAACTTGAAAAGGAAAAATGGCCATCTTTAAAACGCTCACTTCGTCTAATCCCGCATTTCAACAAGTTTTAGCAGCGTACGTACTTTCGCTTTTGAGACTATGCATTCTCTACTTATGTTGAAAACATTTTTGCGAAACCCAAAAACTTTGTAGATTTGCTTACAAACCTTCTTCAAAATTTGTATTTCCCTTTTTCGAACGAAAAACGCAACAAAAAAGTTGCGTTGCTTAAAGTTTTCTCGGCATTTTTGCCTTTTGATTTGCTCTTTGTCTTGATTTTGTTTTTGTTTTTGTGGCGCTTCCTTTACTTTCCGTTACTTGGCCGCCTCTTCACAAGCTCTAATTTGTGTTTCTCATGTTTCTTGTGGTGTTTTTAAGGGCGTGATTACTTATTTGTCAAAAGTTTAAATTAGTTAAAGGATTATTTGTTGTGAAAAAAAAGTGAAACACAAGTATAAGTAATATAAAAAAAAAAATTAAAAAGCGTAATTAAAAAGTAGCACTTCTAGACGGGTCGTGTCAAGTAGTCGTTACAAGTTATATAAAGAGGTGAAGAAAAATTTGTTTGAAACTTTATTAGTTAAGAACATTGTGTACAAAGTATAAATGTTAGTATATATGTAGATGCATATATAAATGTGGTTACGAATAAAATATTGTAGTTTTTATATACATGTATGCTGATTTGTTGCTAAAATAATGTCATCTAAATCAACTTAAGAGGGTATATATTTTTTTGCTAGCATAATGTGATGTTCTATAAGTTAACAATAGTTAACTAAGTCAGTCTCTTGAACTGCCAAAATTGCAACCTATGCAGCTTGGATTTCTGAATGACCGACAGCCGCAATTCAACACCTTGCAGTAGCCACCGACCGTGTGACCGGCGGATGTAACGCAATGCCTTACACAAGCTTAGGCGTCAGCAGAAACTTAGAAAAGCAGCGTCAATGGCAGTAGCGGCGATAGTAATAGTAGATTATAAATAAGAGAAATGTTATTTTAATAAAACAGTTTAAGAACGGAACTCAACTTGTGCTTATTTAAAAATAACATAATTCCGTGGTAGTCGACAACACCGTCGCTATCGCATAATCGGAAACATTATTTAAATAGTTAGTGGGTAGTCGACAACACCGTCGCTACCAATCACAACGCACATAAGTATTCAAACTACTTATAGTAAAAGTAGCGATAATAAATAAATAACTATTATTTAAATAGTTCGTGGTAGTCGACAACACCGTCGCTACCGAATAAAGGAACAATAAAAGTAAAACAGATAATAAAAAAATAACTTATATAACTTTACTAGCTTCTTAATGCAATTGCCGAAGTCTTATGAATTAACAATAACTTATGTTTTTTTTTTTGCTGCCATAATACCAAGAAACCCATCGAGATCGACAACCTGAAGTGTGTTGGCAAATCTTCAAACATTTTTTGGCATGAAAAGTTCACGAGTTATATGAGTGCAGCTTTATGCAAGTCCAATCTACTAAGAGCTGCTCTACTACGACCTAACTCCTAAATCGGAACTCTATTGTCAACAATTGAACCGTCTGAAAGAAGCAAATGCTCAGAAGCGGTCCACTTTGGCCGCTGGATAGCAGAGGAATTGTGTTTTATCAGGACAACTTTAGGCCAAATACATACATATTAACTCGTCAGAACCTTCAGGAGCTTGATTGGGACGTTCTTATGCATCCACCGTATAGTGCTTCGTCTGTTATCAAGCAATTACTACCGTTCCTATCTATGACGATTGATAAGTAAGTGAAAATCAAGTGTCACAGTTTTTGCCAGTGGATACGCGGCTTTGAGTGTCGCATAATGAAATTAGCTTCTATATAACAATAGGTTATATAGAAAAGAACGGTCCATTTTTAAACTGAGTCCGATCATTCTAACTAAGCTAAATAAAGTCTTTAATTTTATGCAAAAATAATTGATTTCTTTTTACGAAACTAAATCTTTTATATGTTTACTATATGCTGTGAAAATTACACCTCGTTAAACCAAAAAAACAAAAATAAAAACAATTTATTTTATTTTTTATTATTTGAAGTAAATACTAATATATATGCATATAACGCAATTTTAGTGTCCTCACTTCATTAATATACAAACATGTTGTTGATGCATCGCTTCACACTCCACTCCCTACAGGGTGTTTCTGCATACATTAGTTTAGCGCTGCCGCAAGCCTTTTATGTCTGCGGTATGGAAATAAGCCAAGAGAGCAACGGCTGAAGCACTGCACAAACTAATGCATATTTATAACCTTAAAATGCATTAAAATAAAATCACACGCATAAATGGCGAGCTGGCTGAAGGGCATTCATTGAATGGAACAGCAGAGTCAGCGCTTGGAAAAATATGGTAATGCCGATAACAAATCGACAGCATTGAAGCAAATATCGACAACAACAAAAACAACAAGAAAACACCAAAAACTAAGAAAAACTTTATGTCGTATATTGCTAGCTCGTAGGCGACACAATTTTGTACAGGTGTGCTGTGGTGTGTCTTGGTGCAATAAGTATTGCAGCCAAAGGCAGCTAATTTAAATTAAATCAACTTTGAAAAACAAAAACAAATTATTAAACGACGATTTTAATGTAGGGGGCCACATGGCAGAGATGATAACAAGCAAATGCCCGTGTACTTTAGTTAGGGTCACTTGCCTTGTTGGCTTGGCTTAACCGCCTTTTACACAGCCAAGCGCACACACATATGTATGTGGAAATATTTTCCCATATACCAACACATACACATATATATATTATTCGTAAACACGGTCTCAGGTATCTGTTGACGGCATCATCCGATAAGGGTTCACATTTAAATTTAAACTTGTTTCCTCTCTCTGGCTTTACTTACATAGATATGTGCAGCTGTACAACCAGATGATATGGGTTTAAGGCTGCCACATATTTCTTCTTCGTGCATATTGACTAATTCAATTAGACGATGTTTTTATTTTTGAACTTGATTGAACTTGAAATTGGGTAGCAAAAGACTGCTGGTGGCTTGTGTGTATTACATACTTATATATATTTAAGAGTTAAAAATGTTATTGTTATTGTTGTAAGGTTGGGATTACGCAATTTGATTACAGACTACTTATATACATATGTCACATGTGGCTTTGGGAGTGTGCAAGCAAACTTCGCATTTATGTACATATATAAAAGCACTGCAGACATTGTAGAACCAACAGATTTCCTTTGTGGACTCAAGTGTCAACAACTAGTGTTGAAAGTAGCACGCGGAAAGCCGAAAAAAGTATAACAAACATGAGAAGCATCATTGTAAGTGTTAAAAGATATTTACAAAATAATTTAAGTTGATTAAAAGAATTTTCGAAAATTCGAAGAAGCTAAAGCCGCTTATATACTAAATAACTTTTTTAATAAAAATTAGTACAATTGATAACTCTTTACAGGGATACCTTGGATAAAATTTTTTATAGTTTTTAATTGTAAATATTTTTTAAGTTTGATGAGGTGACTGTTTGAAGTGCTCTTCTCGAAGAAACCAAACCAAATGTATGCTGCTAGTTCCAAGAAAAAAGCAGCCAAAATGCTTGAATCAAAAGCTGCATAGTCGAGTGGAATACAGATGATAGAATTTATCGCAAATGAACTTCACACTTACGCTACATAAAAATCTCATCATATTTCCATCCTTAATACTAGATGCCACTTTAAAATTATTTGGAACAGATATCTTATATTATAAATACTTATATATTACATTAACTAGAAATCAGAATGGAAAGTATGTAAAGTGGAAAACCCGCGAATACCAGAGTATATTAGCAAGAAGGCTGACTCTAATCTGAAATCTGTTCTGTTATCTATCGGTGACAAGAGCTGCTATCCGTTAACAACTACAATGAAATTTCAAATTAAGAAATAATTAAAGCTAAAATGAAAATAATACATTATTAACACCCTATCATATCTTTTTCATAAACTTTCATTTATATTCAAATACTAGGATTGTTATATTTAAGAAATATTATCAAATTTCTAGGCGCTTTGCTTGCTGGCCACAGCTTTTGCCGATAAACTAGGCTACAACTATCAACCAGTGCCGCATTCTGAGGAGGGCCTATCCTTCACACCCGGTAGTATTGCCGCTCGCCATAGTATTTTTCCATTATCAGCAGCTCAACAAGCTCCAGTTGCAGCCACTCGCAATATTGCAACAACTCAACTAACTTCGGCTCCTGCCCCAGTTGCTCTTGCTCCAGTCCAAACCGAATATCAAAAAGAGTTCTACACTTATACGGCGCCACAAGAAGAAAGTGACAATGCTGCCGATCACGGAAATATTGCCAATTCATTGAGGAAAAATCTGCGCGTTATCTTCATCAAAGCGCCAGAAAGTAGTCCTCTCGAAAACGCTGCTCTCAAACTAGCGAAACAAGCGACAGATGAGAAGACTGCCATCTATGTTTTTACCAAACAGACTGACATTGGCAGCTTGGCGCAACAATTGAAAAATATCGGAACACAATCTAGTTCCAAGCCGGAAGTACACTTCGTCAAATATCGTACACCACAAGATGCCGAAAATGCACAACAAGCTATTCAGCAACAGTATGACAGTTTGCCTGGCCCATCAACTAATTCCAATGAGGGTACTGCGCCAGTACTAAACTTTGCTTCGCAGACACCGGTTACCGCTGCACCAGCACCAGCTGGACCGAGTGCTCAGTATCTACCAGCTAACGCAGTGCCTTCACAAGAGTATTTGCCACCAAGTTTTCGCCGTTTCCGTAACTAAATACCTAACGGTGCATTTTCGTTTTATATTTTTAAGGGCTTTTTGCTAAATTGTTCGAGAACTATTCATAAATTCATGTAAATATACTAAACGCCAAAGTGATTTTTCACACAACAAAAAAAAAGATAAAACTTGTATCTTATTACGCAGGTTATTTATGAGCCTCTCCTAACCTTTCACAATGCTCTGCGAGTTATGTGTTGTAGGAGTGAAGGTTAGGCGCAGTTGTTAAACGAATTCCTCTAATGCCTTCTGCGTAGTAAATATAACGACACATCTCTAGTATGTTGTCGGCTACAAATTAAAATAAATCCATTAGCGTATCCTACAAACATTCGTCCTGAAAGCTGTGTGTTAGATTAATGCTGAGCTCTCGCTCTTTCTCTCTTTCTTTCGTCCCAGACATGGCTTAGTTTATATGCCAACCACTGAGCTTAATAGCAACGCGTGTGGGTAATAGTATGTGTTTAGCTAGCGAGTGTGTTGCTAAATCCTACAGTTTGTAGTAATTGTTAAACATGCTGCCACTTTATTCTCTGTGGGCATGTTACAAAGGGCACCATTTGCTGTAAGAGTTGCTCTCGACTCTTTGAAGGAGTTCTGTAAATTGGTAAAGTACTGTTAAGCTGGGTAATAAGTCATTTGCTCGCATAAGCCACGAAATAGTTACAGAGTTTTTTGTAAGCTGTATTAAAGGGTTTTTAAGTAGTGGAGGCTGTTATATTTCTTAAACAGTTTACGTCATCGGTTGCTCAAAGGAGCGTAATTTACGAGATTTAAAGGAAATAAATAAAGAAGTCTATATTGGAATGCCAAAAGGGTATGATGAAAAAGCTGCAGTTTAATTTTGCAGCAGTTTCATGTTCGCTTATTCTTAAGAAAATTTTTTTTCAAATTGGATTTTCTGATAAGTTAACAAATCGCCTCTTGAAACAATATATTGTATCGTAAGTTGACGGAATTATAAGTTAAATATATCCTAAATTTATATCAAATATAAAGTTTTTAGAAATAGTCAGATTAGCTGTTTAAATAAATAAAGAGCGGCAAAAAGTGTTAAAAATTATTATACCCTGAACATCGGTTACGCCGATATCGTACCACTATAAGAGATAACTGCCATATAAACTGTCGAAGCTAATGCTTTAATCTCCGAAACTATTGTTCAAATCGAACGACTATAATATATAGATGGTATTCAAACTGACATAACAAAATCAAGATAAACATATTTTCATATCCTTTTATGCTATAAGAAATACATTCGTGAAGTACTTCGGTGCAGCCGAACTTAACTTTTGTTCTTGCTTTGAATATATAGTTGGCTTTTTAATCAATCTGGGTGCTGAAAGACAGGTTGGCCTCCGCGCGGCGCATTCTGGGTAACAACCTGCGGCCTTCACGGCCATGTTGAACATCTACGGACCATTGACCCCTGAGGTGTCGGTGGTAGGAATAAATTTAATTGTTTGAATTAACTTATTCGAGATTTGAGGTTGTGCCTTATCTTACTCACTATATTCTATATAAAAGTAGAAGGTTTTATGAGTAAATTAGAAGCCATTACACCCACATTAGCTAAAGTGAATATTTTTTTTTTTATATCGATTATACATATGTATGTCTGAGAATATTCTCCGAAAATTTGTTTCGGGGATGTGAGTTACCAAAACTTTAAATGCGTTTTTCTCGAAACGCTGTTCTTAGAGTCGTTTAGGGAAATTTCTGCGAAACTACTTTAGCGGTGCTTTTTTGATACATTTGTAAGGTAATAATGAAGGAATAAGATTTTTAAAATTAATTTCGATATTTTAAACCACTCTGAAGTGTTAAATTTTTCAAAAACTGTTTTTGGGAACCCGACATTTGGTCGAAAATCATAATTTTGAGTAGTTCTTCTTTTGAAATAATTTTAAGTTGCAAAGTCTTCATCACCGGAGGTTCTCCTGGAGATCGTCTACGGGATAAAGGAAATTTACAATTTTTTCAGAAGCAATTGCCGATTATTAAAGTACCTCAAATTCGGTAAATGAAGTTGTTTGTAATTTTTTTTATTAAATAAATTGCGTTTTTTTCCCAAAAACTTGTGACTTGTAAGTGGTCATAACTCCTTAAGTCGTAGTAATTGTGACAATATGACTTAACATAAACTATTGTTTACTTTAAATATACACTGTTATTTATTGCTAAATCACTGGTATTAATATTATAATTTATTCTTAATGTAATCTAATCTTTGATTAGCTACAATACGACAGTAAATTTTTCGCTTAACATATTTAAGGGGTTTCTCCGTTTTCAGCATTATAAACATAATATACAAAGCAAAATTATTTTCATTTACCTAAGATACCTTAAGCCTATATTTAATATAACCATATATATTGTGTGTCTGTGTGACTGCGCATGTGTTTAGTGATGTACTAATGACTTGTGGGCGTATCTTAAAATTTGCTTAATACATCTTACCTTAAAGATAATAATTTCTTGTTAATGCACTCAACAGGCTGAAGACTGCTTATAAATAAAAGCTGTTGGCAATGCCTAGTATCTACGAATAGCTGAAATAGTTGCTGCTGCTTTTTATGCAGGTGGCAAGTGTTGTGTTACGAGTAGTTTTATGCTCTCGCGATTCCTTTTAGTCCACAAACTTTCACACACACACACGCGCGCACGCACACCTATCTGTCGTTAGTGATTTCTATGTATTTATAATGAATGTATGTACAAGTATGTACATATGTACACAAATGTTGTATGCGTCTTAAGGATGCAACACGAGTTTGGATTACGTCCGTTTCCGTTCTAGTTCTACTTATGCCCCTCTATGTAACATAAGCATTATTGTGTGTATATGAGTATATGGGTGTGTGACAGGCGACATAAACGTTGATTATGTGGCATGAAAAAGAATTTACGACGGTGTTGAGTGGAGTGCTTACATTTCACTTACAACGACATAAATGCGGAGATAAGTGTACTGCATAGCTGCGAGAGGCGAGATGCGAACTGAGTCGCCGAAAATGGAGAAATCATATGAAGCATTTAAGGCGTTTAGGTATATAGACTCGTAAAGTGCTTACACGCTTGGACCTACATTTTCATTACGCATCCTTTTAAGTAGCGGTATGCTGCCATCTAATGCTGGCAACGTCATCTGCCCTTGCTGAGTTTCTAATTTACGTTTAAAAGCTTTATGCCACCGTTGTGTCCATATCTCCATCTCTCTGCGTGTGTGTAAAAATGTTTATATGTGTGCGTAGATGCATTTATATTTAGATATATGAGTGCTATTATTTGCCTTAAGGTGCTTCAAATAAAGGTCCACATCTAAGACTCCCGGGTATTGCCGACTGCGTATCTCTGTACTTATATGTGTATGGATGTGTGCGCTGGTGTTGATGATAGCGATGAAAGCATGAAACTTTTGTAAATGTCTCGAATTATTTCCGTTTCCCTTTTTCGCTGACATCATTCTAGTCGCCTCTAATTACAGGCAGACCTCTTTGTATATGCGTACTACCGTGAAAGTGAGAAGAAAGTTGTGTTGCTAAATATACAAATGAGTATAAGTGGTGGAGTTTATATCTATGAGGTCAGGAAAAATTTAGTTTTTTGAAGTTTTGCTTTTTAAGATAAAAAATCAAATAACTAATGAGGTAACCGTATACTCTCTTGCAAAAAATTCAAATGGTAACTCTGTTGCTGTTTTTTTAAAATTGACTTTTTTTGAAAGGAAAAATGCGTTCAAAGATAACGAGCAAAGAAATGGCGAATCGAAGACATTTTTCACAATTGAGTTCATCAATTGAACTAATTTGTTTTCTTTTGGTTGGTGTATTATATTTCTCCTCATTCTTGGAATGTATCATTAAATCTGTCGCATTTTACATTTCTCCAAATTTGCCATAAAAAATTATTATTTATTGTTCACAAATTTAAGGTAGCGATGAAAGATGCAGTTTTAATACAATTTTACATAATATTTTTTTTTCCATAAATCCTTGGGAAGTGGATACTATTTTGTTAGACATTAAACGGCTTAAACCAGCTAATTCTTCCTTCTTAAACAGAGATTTTATTAATTTGGGTTGCAATCCATAAGATAATATTATTAACGCATAGTCATATTGTAGCTAGGGTTTCTGCATTTACATTTAGTGTGAAATTTTCACAAAATTATTGTATTGATGGGCGTAAGCGGACAACTTCCACGCCCAAAACCGCCATTAATCGAAAACATATAAATTGTCATAACTAAGTACTTAATTAAGATATAGAACTGTAATTTGGCACAAAGGATCGTGGTAGCAAGGAGCACCTGTGAGCTAAAAGTTAGAAAAAAAGGGGCGTAGCCGCGCACTTTAAAATATCAAATCACATACCTCGGGATCTGCTCAACCGATTTTAACTAAATAATTGAATGTATAACATTTCTCTGATATTCCTTAGATACAGTGTCAAAATGTGTGAAATCGGACTACAACCAAGCCTACTTCCCATATAACACAGTTTATAATTCCATCTGATTCTTTCCCTTTCCACTAATTTATTTTTTACACAAATAGTGCCTTTGAAGTGTGCCAACTAAACCCTAGGTATCGAATATGTTGGGGTGCCTATAGTTGACTTTTTAACGAAAATATTGGTCAATGTGTGAGATATCTAATAGAAATTTAGAGAAGATTCTTTCCTGATAATAGTATGTCTGTATATCGAAAATTTGGTTGAATCGGGTCAATACTTCCCTTAGCCCCCATATACCTAACATAAAGATTTTTGAACTACCGTTTAGGTTGCTAAAAATGTGTGACATTTTAGTGAAATTAAATTAAGAAGTTTTCTTAAAAATTAAATTGGAATATGTCTAGACCTTGGTCTAAACCTCATATCCTTAATATAATGAATTTGAAATTTCTGGTTGACGTTTTCCACATCAGCTCAATATTTATCATTTATTAAACTTCACCTCGTTGGTCGAGTTAATATCACATACATATATAATATCTCATTTGAAGATGTTTTTTAATATAATTTTAGCTGACACGAACTAAAATATAGCAATAAAACTGTGTTTAAGAAAGCTATTAGCTTTCAATATAAGTCAAGAAGATACGAAATTTG